AAGCTGGGTTGTGATACTGGGAGGGTGGTGTGCTGCGGAGCACGCAGCTAGTGCTAGCAAAGGAAGAAAGAGCCCCGGTTGTATTTCTGTTACATGGACAATCAACTTGGAAGCACCACCTTGTTCTCTACGCATTTTCTGCTATGTAATCTTTAGGCACTGTAAGTCTCCAGGTGAATGGAAGGATCTGATAAGCCATGACCGAAATTTATATGGTGGGTTTATTCCAATGACACGTTGATTCATTTTTTCATGGTTTCTAAACTGGTCGTTGGTAGATGTTAGTCTCAGTTTACAACAGTTGGAGGCATTTGCAGCAGAAAGCAAGCAAGAAATGAAGGCATTTAATGTTATTTCAACTCACTGAGATGAAAAGGTATTTTGAGGTACCGTTTGGCTTTTCCTTGCATGAAAGGTTGAAGGTGGAAGGGATGTGGAACCCTCAGAGGAATCATCCCTCCCCAGACTGACAAGTGAAGAGCATTCCTCACTTCTGCCATGGGATGGGTGATGCCAGCCCCTTGCAGGCTCTGTCGACTCTCCTCCCAAAACCTGCTCTGGGAGTCCAAGGTCTGTGGGCAAAGGCTGGATGGGGCAGGGGAAAGGATAAGCCGATCAGGTGCACTTACAACCACTATCCCTTGGGAATTCCTTAAAAAAGACCTCAGACCGACAAGGGGGTGTTTGAAGGTTTCCTACAAAACAGCTACATGCCATGGGCTTTCACTGAACCTTACAAGTGAGATAGAATCTCTTCAGATCAGGGTTTGAGGGTGCCTTTAACTGTGGTTGACCAAAGGTGCATCCACCCCACCACTGGTTATCTTTGCTAGGAGGCAAAAGAAAATTTCCATTCCTAAAAATGCACTTCTTGGGCCAGCAGCTTTTTAAGCTCCTACTCAAATCCTGCTTAGCAATACTATTCTCTCTCTCTCTCTCTCCACTCCTCAGCATCCTGCCCTTTGATATACAGATGCCAAAAAAGTATTTGGGAAAACCACATATCCAATACGGGATAATCACATTTAATGCCCAGATTAACCTTGGATATCTCAGGCCCGCTGGAGCTAAATCTGTGTAGCCTTTTCATTTTGTGCCATTTTTCAGGCACCTGGTCCATTAGTGAATTTTTCAGAGCTATGTAGGTTAAAACAATTCAATGAGAAAAACAGAAAGAAGCAGTCAAAAGAAGAAAAACCTAATTTTTCAGCAGACATACACAGCAGGTCAAATGGCCTAAGGGAAATATTTAATTTAAGAGTCATACTATTTCTACCAAGTTTCCTAACCAAAAGTATTTTCATCAGGAGCACTACTCTTGATCTGGTTACTGCTAATGATTTTCCCCATGGACTTAGCTCATAAAAACATAAATTGCTTTATGAATCATAGAATCATAGAAGTTGGAGAAGAAAATGATGGGTTAGGTCATCTTGCCCTTCTCCCTGACAGTGTAGTATTATTTATTTTTTAAAAAAATTTTTGAAAATAAGCATTTATTCAGAGCTGGAGAATGAAGATGCTAAGTTCAAAAGAGATTTTGAAAACACATAATGAAAGCAGTGGAGGAAGAGCCAGATTCTTAAGTACCTTGGTGTTCTTTACAAGCCCTGACAATTTGATGAGAGGTATCGCATGGATAGGCACAGCCAGAAATTCAACGGCAAAACCAGGACAATGGTCTAAGTCCTGTGCATGAGTAATTATCGTAGTTGCAAATGCAAATCCAGTAGTTACATAGGCAAATATACTGCTCGGCAAAGACCTGGCCATCTCAATAACTGCGACCAAATGTACGAGACTTGCAAGAATCCAAAGTCTGCAGGCCTTTGTGCAGAGTGAAGGTGGCACATGTGATAATACAGACTGTCTTGTCGTTACCTATCGTGACATCTCCACAAACACCAGTGAGCCAAAAAGTCTGTGCTTTGCATAGTTGCTTTTGGAGCCTTTGGTTTGACTATTTTTTTATTTTCTGAAAATAGTTTCAAGTCCTGCTTTGTATTACTTTTTGAAGTTTTTTCCCCAAGCATGTCTAGTTTAGAGGCTGTCCTTTTGCATTAAAAAACCTCACTTTGAGAACCCATCTAATTCTGGCTCAGAAACTGCTCTTGATCAGACATTCTCTGAAGACAAAAGAAAATGTTTCTGTTAGTTCTTAAGTTAATCAATCTTAAAGGCTTTTTTAAAAAAGGTATTCCTAAGTCCTGTAAAGTTCACTAAAAATCATCCTGGTATGAAGTTCTGACTTTTGCCTCAGATGGCTTCCATCCTCAGAAATGCCCCCTTACCTTCCAGCATTTTTCCCAGAGAATGCAGGCACTCGCTAGAATTCAGACTGTCTGAGAACCATTATAAACATAAAGTAAATGAATCAAAACCTGTTGCTGGAGTTGGTTTTGGACTTCAGCATGCTTTTTCTAGATCTCTGTAAGACAGCAGTATCTAATTTTGTTCCCATTACTGCCTTCCACAGATTTCTTCTGAATTGGGGACATCTTAGAAAACACATCTCAGTATTTCTCTAATTCCTTTAGCTCAAGTGAGCGAGTCACGGATCTGTAAGCATGAACCTTCCCAAATATTGATTGCTGAAACTAAAGCACTCTAATCCAGATGTTGTTTTTATTTTGATTCTACTCTCAATACAAGAAGGCTTCTATCATTTTAAATCCCTTCAGTACACAGCGTGCACATTTTGGTACACCTAAACCTCAAATCTTCTGTGAGTTTGCGGAGGTGACAGCCCCTCAATCTTTTTGTACAGGCTCCGCATGTAACTAACCTAATTGAAGCAAAGCAAAACAGGACACACCCACTGACTGAGAGTAAAGAAAAATAAACATATAGCCCAAACCCGCCAGAACTGTCTCAGAATGGAGAATGCAAGGGGCACCACTTCTTTTTTCCTTCGCAGCCCGTGATGTACCTCTTCAGGCCAACCCCTATCTCAGTCAAACGTATAAAGAGGAGAGGAGATACCAGAAGGATAGCAACAGCCACTGCCATCCAGAAACCCTTGGTGAGAAGTCATAGAATCATAGAATCATAGAATTGCCCAGGCCGGAAGGGACCTCCAAGGGTCATCTAGTCCGACCTCCCCGCAGTCAGCAGGGACACCCCCAACTAGACCAGGTTGCCCAGGGCCTCGTCGAGCCTCTCCTTGAATATCTCCAGGGAAGGGGCCTCAGCCACCTCCCTGGGCAACCTGTTCCAGTGCTCCACCACCCTCACAGTGAAGAACCCTCTCCTAATCTCCAGTCTAAATCTGTTCCCCTCCAGCTTGAGGGAGGGGGCTTGGCAGCCCCCTGACAAGTGCAAGGAGCGTAACCCCTTCTACGCTGCTTCACAAATGGCTGAATGATAAAGGGACCTGGGCATTCCTGCTGAGGGGGGAGTCTGACCTCTCCTCGTGCCACACACAAAGCTTCCTCCACTATGCAGCTGATTTGCCTACAACACAGTGAAATTATTTACAAGGAAGCGTTTACATACATTTGAATCGGGAAGATACGTATGTTGCTTCAGTATGTATTATATCTCTACTTCCTTTTTAAAATGTAGAATCTTATTAAATATTAACTATTATACCAACTGAAGAATTGATTTAAAACAGTAGGCATGCCTGCAGGATGATTTTCTTCCTTACTGTTCTAGCAGACTCATATTCAAAAAACTGAAGCTTATTTGTTGTCTGCAAACTATGAACATGCCCAGGTAATTGCATATGCAAATCTGGAACTTGCATATACAAATATTGTTTTTATGTGCACAGCTGCCTGGTTCACCAGGGATAATATTCGGGGACAATTCAACCACAATTTTTTTTTTAAAAAAAAGTAACCCAAACTAACTAAGAAGCAGTATACTGAGAGCAATATTTCTTTTAAAGTCTGGCCTCAAACCCAAAAAATATAGGTCAGATTTTTCCACTAAATGCATGCAGCATCATGATGCAACTCAAAGCAAATGAAGGCTCGAGAAGAAAATGCACAGGCAAGACATGAGTTTTCTACGGCATTTTAGTTAAAGTATCAAACCTTCCTTTTCTCCCCCACTCAGTTAAGCAATCCCAAGCTGCGAGTCTCATTCTCTAGTGGGTGCTTGAATCCTGCTGCTCTCTTCTCCTGGGACGATTCCACTTAAGCAACAGCCAGAACTTCTGCCAAGCGTGCGGGAGGAGTGCAAGAAACTAACCACAAACCTCAATTTCCATCAGGGCATTTTGATCAAAACATGAAAATGCCCCATTTGGGCTAGTGACTGAGGTTAACGATAGCCTCTGGTAAGAGGCAGCCCATGGTGCTGCAGAAGCATCTAATACCTGCAGATCCGCTCCACCCTCACTTCACCCCACAGACAAAACAGCCTGCCCTCACCTCCTGAGCAAAAAAAAAAGTGTGGGTATTCCCCTGGAGATATCAAACCATTCATCTCCTCCTTGTATTTAATCCTTGAAAAAAAAAAAAAAAAAAAAAGGAGGAAAGATTGGCTGCCTGTGAAAGTGGGTGCTCCTCAGCTATGCAACAGCAAGAGCTACAGGGAACCCCACAAAGCAGCAGCCAGGTCTCCTCTCTCAGGCACTTACTTGTTTTTACAGGGTGGCTGAGCCTGAGAAGTTAGATCAATGACATATTGGTTTCCAATGCTTTAAAATCCTCTTAACATCTGAAAGGCAAGACTAGCAAGAAATGATGCGTAATGTATACGCTGCCCACCTTTTACCAGCATCCCTTCTGTCAGCTTTTGGGTATGATCCAAGTCCTCCCTGGGCAGATACTTCAGCAATGTAATGCAAGTCATATTCTAGATCAGCTGGACACCCAGGAAAAATAAGGCTTCGGGAAGGCATCATTAAAAACATTCGTAGGACAGCCTCGGCTTAACACATACCCACTGCTCCACATGCATGGGGTGCTGCTGGGTTTTGTGGGGCTGGTGAGGAACCCCTACACTAAACCGTCAACTTGGCCTGCAAACGCTGTCATTAGTTGACTTACTTCTGGGTTCGCGAGGTCCATCCACCGTTATCTTGATGGCTCTGTGGTATGTGGCTACTTGTGGCGGATTTGTGAAGACCGTGATAGTCAGCGTGAAGCTCTTCCCTGCAACGGGAAAAAAAAAAGCATTACTCAGCATACATGTGGAGAAAAAGTGTGCTCTTCGTTTCGGATAGCACCCGAACACACCAAATGGCATTAAAACACTTTAGCTGTCCATATCTGAAGATAGGTATGTGCCCAGAGAGTGGGGTGTATAACCTCACAACTGCCTGGTGCTGGATGCATTCCCTCCGTGGCAACTGCTCAAAGCTTTGGGGAAAAAAAAAAATTAATTTATATTTAAATGATCTACACTTTGTTTGTAAAAAAAGGAGGTTAACCCTAACAGCTAGAGTTTATCTGATCTACACGACTGCTGGTACATTATCTGTAGCTTCTAGAGTGTTAGTTCAGAGAGGCTTAGAACTTGTGGCTGACTCTTCCAAAACTGCCACGGGAATCTGATCAACAGCGCTTGTTAAAATTAAAGAGAACTGGGTGCTCAGCTCCCCTAGGCAGATCGTAAAGTTGAAGCTAGTGTTAGATCAATTCCATATTGCGAACCAGAACCCTTTAAAACTAATCTGCCACTGCAATGCCAAGAAACAAGGGAATGGAAAAAAGAAAAAAATCCCTACAGCTTGTCCACAGAGAATTAAAACATTTTATAAAGACACAGCAGAGCATTATGCGTAGTTTCTGTATTATTTAGTAAGGAAACTGTGAAGGCCTTTTCAAAACTGTTATGTGAATGCCACAGCTCTAAGTTGGGAAAAGTACTCATTTTGATGGCTGCTGGGGAGGGTTTCATATCCCCTGGTGACTGCAATGCCTTCAGATCCTGCTACTGCTGGATTTGATTTTGGCCAATGCAGCATTTACTTCAGGCACTTTTGTTATTTAAAAAGTAACATTCTGCATCTTTGATAAGACCTCATATTCATTATGGCTTTGGCCTGGACAACAATAAAAACATTGCCCGTCAGCAGGTTTAGCATAGTTATCTCAGCATCACGGAGGACTCAGATACTGACAGGAATCTTCATTATCAGTAAGAGACATCAAGGGACATCACCCCAAGTTAGATAACCAGGAACTGTTGTAATAAAATCAAGGTTCCCCTCCTTTGGGCACATGCTGTGCAAGCTTTCCCATTACAGATCTGACTGCTTCATTTTACCACTTGGCTCCAGCCCTCCTGAGTGCTGACTTTCTTCCCTTCTAAGACTTCCCTTTTTTATTGTTTGCCTCATTTATATAAATAAATATAAATTTAAATATAAATGTAAATATAAATGCCTGCCTCTAGCAGCAATATTCCCCCCCTCCCTATGCACATTCACTTGCAATTCAATACTTCTCTTAATGCAGTTCCTACTTTGGTGCTAATGGTCTGCATCAACATCACAGCGAGCACACACATAGCTGTTACTGGAAGCTGTCCTCATCGCATCCCTCTGAATTAGGGAGGTATTCTCCCCACTCTACGGATGAGGAACTGTGGGGAGATAAAGTGTCTTGGCCACGACCTCACAGGAAGCCTGTGGCCAGCGATGCTAACCACTTTGGCTGCTGCAATTAAACCTGACTATAAACCTGAATCACAGCCCTGACAAAACAGAAGCTGAAACACAAGCCTTCAAATCCCGAGCGACTGTCTTCCCACCTCCACATCCTCGTTAGAAAGCAGTCCCTGAGATTAAAATAATTGCAACAGAAGTAAAACTCATTTCTAATCCCTGTCTCAGGGCCTTTGGCCCTCAATTCTTGGGTCCTACATCTACCCAGACCAAGGATGACTGTGTTCTTAACATTCTTTAAATACCAAATTACATGCTAAAGCTTTACAGCTTTGTTACTCTTCCCCTGCCAGCACAACAGATCCTTCTATGAGGCATCAGTAATAAAGTCTTAACATTCTTTAAATACCACATTACATGCTAAAGCTTTACAGCTTTGTTACTCTTCCCCTGCCAGCACAACAGATCCTTCTATGAGGAATAAATTCCAATAAACTTCCTTCCAAAGAACTTTATCACCCATAGCACTAGGCTTAACAAATATCAGAGAGGCACTTGTAGATGTTCCTTCTTTCCAAAAATAGTTTACATATGCTATATAAGACACCTAGATCACCAATACTGAAAGAGACTTTGAAAATAGACTTTATTCTCTTCACTAATCTGCAGTATTTCCATCTTTCTTCCTGTATGTTTGGGGGTTTTTTTGACAACTGCTGATGCATTACATAAGGTGCTCCTGCTGTTCTGCTAGAATATGCAGCCCATGCATTTCTGTAGAAGGCTCTTGTGGATTTCCCAGATAGAAAAGAAACACGGAAAAAAAATTATAACAGTAGTGAAATGTAATAAAATGTGGCCACATTATGAGTCTACAAGACCAGAATAAAGGAGAGGTGAAGTTACTTTCAAGATTTTCTACAGAACAGACTAGATCTCAGAGCCCGTATAAGGTTGTGACACAAGTTGGCAGAAGCAGGAAGATACTTAGCTTACTTCTTGTTGACAGAAGACTATTCATTAACCACATACTGGTTAACCACAGGACTATATAACCATAAACCTACATGTCACTCATTGCTGCTTACCAATAATTCTGGCTGTGTTTTTTCTCTGGTTATTCTGTTTCATTTACATTTAGCTTTATTAGGTGGTTTTATCACTTTTGTTCATAGCTTCTGCATTATTCATCACTTCTGTGTCTGGTTGACAAAGGTAGATTTAGATTGGAGGCATTGTTAGTGAAATCGGTATTTTATGGATATACCTCTTTTGGGATGACAGCAGGACTATAAACCCCTCCCTCCTTGCTTTTATGTGTTATGATACAGATTTTTGGTTTTAACATACGCTTGCATAATACACGTACACACAAGGACGTGCACATACATACACACACACATACCTATGCAACATTGATACAGATTTTTGGTTTTAACATACGCTTGCATAATACACGTACACACAAGGACGTGCACATACATACACACACACATACCTATGCAACATGCAGCAGACTAAACTGGTGGAAATAACACTGGAGGCTGTATTCAGATTCCCCAGCACTGGAGCCTATATTAGATAATGCAGCAGACTAAACTGGTGGAAATAACACCAGATTAGTCAGTGGAGGCTGTATTTAGATTCCCCAGCACTGCAGCCTATATTAAATGCCATGATTTCTGATGCCTACATAAGTGGACCTCCTAACTATTGGTTGAGCACTTAGTGTCTCTGCTCAGCTCAGAAAAGGGTGAGTGCCACTAAAATTGAGTCAGAGAGCCTAAGTGATGGACTGAACTCTCTAGTGACTGCAAAGAGGGACAAAACACCCCAAAGAAGGCATTCTGAAACACTGGCCTGGTTTGGATGCCTCCAATAATCTGATGACAATTTGATGACATCCTAGCAGTCACAGCAAGCCAGCACGTAGCCCTGCATTAGCTAGGATCAAAATCTGAGACCCTCTGGGTTAAGCAGTCCCATAAAAACATATACAAATTAGCTTAGGTCTGTGATGCATGCCTCAGTGTATTGAAGCCGACCGCTGCTATGTCATCATGGGAGTCTTTGTCAATGCTGGAAGGGGTGACGGGTGATGTCAATGTCAAGCTGTGCCTCGCTGGGGTGCAAAAGTCACTTCAGAGACTGTTGTTCTCTCTGTAATATCCCTGGCAGCTCCTAATATTAGGCACATAGCACCTCATGAGCACAAGGATTAAATTCTCCAGATGTGGGACAGGGCTCTGCCTTTGGAAGCCCTTCTCACAGGCATCAAGCATACCCTCATATGCATAAGGGCAGAGCAGAAGACTCACAGCTTCCATCAAGACTTCGCTCACAACTAGGGTAGGAAAAATTGCTTGGCAATGTTTATTTTTCAAGAGCGTTAAGGTCAGAACCCTTCTAGAAAAAATACTGGAAGCAGTAGCCTTCAAAACACAATACTGACTTTTGAAATGATACTCTGTTGATGGGTTTGCTCGAGACTCTTTTATCAGAAGTGCCCTCAAGACTCACTGCTGTTTCAACAGCCGAAGTCAGACAGTAGCTTAAACCAGTTGTCCCCAGCTCATGACTTTACAGGACTGCTCACAAGATCCCCTGACATTGTGCCAAGCTGCAAGAACTTAAGAGGAAGCACAAGGCATCCACCAGCGCCCGATCAGCAATACTGGCCCTGGACTAGCAGAAGGTGAAGATCAGCCTCCAAGACCCAAGCATCTGAAGGTGTTGTGCCCACGCTCTACACTGCAATACAGGAACCTGAAGTCTGCATTCAGTCTGCATCCCATCGGACGGAAGCTGGAAGCAAAACGAGCAGTGAGATCACATCTAGCATGATGAGAGATTATTTAAGTCCCCCAGAACGGCACTGAAGAGCTCTAGAGGGAGCAATAGGCTTGTAAGCTACAGCCCCTGGGAATGTTTTGAGAGGAACCAAGGGGGAAAAAATGAATCCCAAGTGACAACATGGTCACATGAAGCTCCTGTGTACTGTTTTAGTCATCCCTGAGCAGTGTCATGACCAGATGGGTCTGGGGGGTGGGAAGGCACACTTAAAGTCCAAGTGGCTGCATGGGCAGACGCAAAGGGGAATGAGAACAGACACGCTTTAGGGAAGAGAGGCCACATCTTGAACCTATCACTCCATTTTAATCCACCTCTTTCTCAGGCAAAAAGAGCCGCTGATTCCATTGATGAAGGTTCATCCAAATGAGGACAGAAAAAAATGGAGTTAAAGCTTCAGAAGTTTGCCTAGGGGGTGAGGGGTGGAGGTGGGGGGGGGAGGGGGACAGGAAAAGGAGGCCAAGAGATGATGTGGTTACCATTACTATCTTTTGCTTTTGGGATTTATTCTGATGATCGCAGCTGTGTCGTTAGAGTTGTGGGGTTCTTTTAAAAAATTGTTACAGTAAATTATTAGATAAAAAGAAGAAAAAAGGGAAAGGAGCCAAGAATGCTTGTGCTGACAAGGACAAAAGGTATAGATGGAAAAATATGAAATGTAATACACAAATGCAATACAAATTATATTACAGA